AGCCACTCCCCACCCCGACTCAGAAATATGTCGGCCGTCCTTTCAGTGCGGCTGGGTCCGAATCCCCGGAATTCCCTCCCTAAGGGACATTGTGGGTCTACCCTACAGCGGCTCAAGAAGGCAGCACACACACCCCCATCTTCTCAAGGGGAGGGCGGCAACTGGGGACGGGGCGATAGATGCGGGACACAGCAAGCTGTAACCCTTTGTAATCTCGTCAGAGCTTGCTTTCTGATTTTTATATCCTCAGCGAATTTGGGAACAATACGGATATCCTTCAACCAATCATTAATACAGGCATAAGGTAGGTGAGGCCCCGGTTCCAGTTTCCCCAATCGGAATGTCCCAGATTAATCCCAACTCGGTTTACTCTCCTGGCAGTTAACTGTTGAGTATCATCAACTGCTGCATTGCCCAGGACAACAGCGCAACCAAATCCAGCCCACTTGCCAAAGGCAGCGCACTCCCGCCTCAGGCAGGATTAATGCTGGGGTGCCCCTGCCCTCAAATTCTCATTCTTGGGAATAGCCTTGATAACTGCCAGATAAAATGCTTGAACAAAACATCTCCCTCAATTGATAAAACACCATACCCCTCCATAAAATCAACACTGAGTCAGCCTGGCCGCGCTTCCATTTTTTAAGTGTCCTGTCACTAGCTCATTAACAACACATTCCACCATTTCCTCAAAGACAGAAATTAGGCTCAGAGATGTATAGTTTCCCCGCTCCCTCAGCGCGGCGCTCCATCAGCGCTGACCCTCCGACAGCGCGGCGCTCCCTCAGCGCTGGCCCTCCCACTGTGCGGCGCTCCCTCAGAAACCCAAGCTCGGAAATGCGAGAGACATAAAGACGGTCAGAGGGAGACAGTGACACAGGATGTGAATGCCCACCCATAGACCAGTAGGTTCTTCTCCACCCTGAAACACTCCGTACGGCCATAACCGTGGCGCCGATCGTACGATCTCCGGGACCTGGGCCTCTCATCGTTATCGCTGTCCATCTCCGAGAATTCCACATCATCATCTTTGGTGGTGTTAAACGGCCGGGTCTGTTTCCGAACCCGCGGGGTATCGATCACCAGGTTATTCTGTTGGGTCGAGGGCGGGGGGGGTGGTGAGAGAGACATAGATCAGTGAGGGTGTGACGGGCTAATCGCGAGTGGGCATGGGCTGAGGGAGAGAGGAGATTCCATCCACCCACTGACAGGCCTCAGGAGACCGGAGAGTGGGCAGGAGCCTCCCACAGCACCCTTGGGTGGGTGGGGGCAGGGGGCAGCACCGACCATCTCCAGCGCCCTCAGGTGGGGCAGAACCCAACTCCCCCAGCACCCTTGGGTGGGGCAACATCCACCACCCCAGCACCTGCCTTACCCTGTCCCTGGGGTGGGGCAGTGCCAATATTGGATGGTTTGGGACCCACACAGAAACCCTGGCATTGACCACTCACCCTCCGGTTCACCATGTCCAGGTCGATATCCGCCTTCTTCGCCCATTTCTGCCAGAAGTTGGGATCATCCAGAGCAATGTCCGTCCGGTTCCCCGTCGCAACAAAACTGGCCTGGATTGGGGTGGGGGGGGCAGGAGCGTAGGGAGAGAGAGAGACAGGCAGTCAGAGGGAAGGAGGGAGTAGGGAGGGAGCGAGACAGGCAGTCAGAGGGAAGGAGGGAGTAGGGAGGGAGGGAGAGAGACAGGCAGTCAGGTGGGAAGGAGGGAGTAGGGAGGGAGGGAGAGAGACAGGCAGTCC